TTGTGCTTACCACTGATTAATGCAATACAAGTAGCATTTTGCTAATTCGTGTGCCTTCTTGTTGCCTTTGTGTGTGTGTTTGCTTTGTTTCGTAGGCTTACTCGCCCATTTCGAGTGCCGCACGGGGCCCCAACGATTACCCCCGTGACACCTAGTCATGCTTAAAATTTATGGGCATGGTAATAGTATAATACACAAGTGCACGACTCTAATTCAGAGCCTTCATGACAATCTAACTGCAGCTTCTACCCAAAAAGAAAAGGGGTCGGGATCATAAAGATATTTACATGTTCCCTCCAAAGAAAAAGAGAAAAATATACATGTTTAATTCAACCCCATTGTGAAGCAGAACAGGTTCATCCATTCAGATTTCGTGCACTCAGTACCTGAAATATGACAAACGTCTAATTCCCAGGTCATGACTGATCCAGCATGCATGATTCATGGTTTATTGTTACCAGTTCCTCTAACTAATCTTTTGTAACCCATCTGTGGCCCCGGATTTGATACTCGCCATAGCTTTGGTCACTGCAACTTTCTCCCCCACTCTCTGCACTGGTATACCCTGATTTTCTACGGCGTCTCTTTGACCTTGATACCCCACTATCACTGAAGCTCCCATTCAAGAGGGGGTCATCTATTCCATGGATCACTCTTCGTGTTGATGATGATGCAATGTAACTGTCATCTTTAATTCTCCTCCTCTCTTTATCATGCCTCTTTATGTTTTGGGAGATCTTGTGTAGTTTCTCATTAAACCGTGTGATCCCCCTCTCCACAGGCTCCACAGCTTGGTTCACGGTGAACCTCACATCATTCACGATCTGTAAAATCACAAATCTAGACATGTTTAGCTGATTATTTTAAGAATGAAAATTTCAGCACCACTAGCAGGCACCATCAGAAAACTGAAGTAGGTCAACATGTCATTTAGCAGCGCTAAAGTTGGTTGATGACCATAGTGTTGCTTGCTAGAATTTATCTTTCAACAAATACAGGACATGAAACAATGGATCAACTAACCAAACCACCTTGAGGCCAAATGGCATGCTAAATATGTTGCCAGTATTATCTTACGGTGAAGCATCACTGAGGCAGGGGAAGGTGCAGAAACCAAAAAGGATATGCACATTCCTCCAGACACTGCAGAACAACACAGACAGCCCAGGTGTGCTGTGCATATAATCCTGATGCACAAGTTTCAGTAAGCTTCAATTTTGTAAGAGTTAATTAATGAATCTAAAGTTGATGTCATGTTTTGAGCGGATTTCCATCTCAACAGAATTCCATGGTAGGACCAATTGGATGATCAATCTTCAGTTTCTGCATTGAGAAAGTTTTGCAAATTAGGGTCCCCATATGTTGTGTGGGGACTGTGATGTAGACCCAAGCTTTTGCCTTTATAGGGCTGTACGTTCAGCATCTCTGTTATTACTTTGTAGTCTTAAAATTTAGGAGCACCACCTTTTGGAATTGTAGGTTGAGTTTGATACCAACATGGAATGTTGCCCAGACAGTGACACCAACATGGAATGGATGTGCAAATGGGGATACAACTCTCCAATTCCCAAGATCCAGGACATATATATAGGTAAAGATATCCAATTTAATATGCTTACATAATGCTTTATCTAGTTTTGAATCTGAGTTTTATTTCTCAATACTTATATCTTGCCAAATTTAATTAAACCTGGGCCAACTACAGATTTGTTTATTTATTTTTAGTATGATTTGTTAAGACATACTCTAGAAGCATTCACACTATAAAGCATACTGTACAAGTGTTCATGCAGTATCAGGTGTCATATTGGGTATGAATCATGTCTGATACCGGTTAGCTAAGCATTAGCAGATATGCAGGCTTCATAGGTGTAGTAACTCTCTTCAGAACCATTTCCTAGAAGGTTACAAGCTAATTCTCCTCTCCATATCTCTTTGCTAGACATAGACTTTAGTACACAAAAATAGCTGTACTTTGTTCTCTTTCTTTTTAAAGATTTCTTATTCTCCCTCAACAATATATCTATTCCATCCTCAAACACAGTTCGTTAACAGAACGTAGTTTGTATCCCTCTTCAAATTCTAGAGAGTTGAGAAACCTTATATCCTACCTAAACCTAGTTCTTTTATTGGTAACAATGGAATATAAAATTGCCAATCCTAATTCATTAAAAATTTCAACATCTACATGTTAAAACCCCAGAAAAAGGTCCTACATCATGGCCAGAAAGTATGGAACTTGAGAAAGTTAGTATGGCAAGAAATCCCGCCCC